GCAGAAAGAAGCAGAAGGGAGCTGAAGGGAGATGAAAGAAGCTGAAGGGAACTGAAATAAACTGAAGGGAGTTGAAAGAAGCTGAAGGGAACTGAACGAAAATGAAGAGAGCGGAAAGAAGCTGAAGGGAGCTGAAATAAACTGAAGGGAGATGAAAGAAGCTGAAGGGAACTGAAATAAACTGAAAGAAGCTGAAAGAAGCTGAAGGGAGCTGAAAAAAGCTGAAGAGAACTGAAGGAAGCCAAAGAGAGATGAAGGGAGATGAAAGAAGCTGAAGGGAACTGAAAGAAGCTGAAGTAGAACAACAGCTGAAATGAGCCATAACAGGTTTAAACAGCACAAAGAGTTTGAAGAGTTTAATATCGCTTTACGATGTTTTTGTTTTGTTTTTTTAAATATCATTTTCTTCCATTTATTTTTCCAATTTACAGGCTTTTTTACGATTGTCCAATGTCGTCAACTAATGGGATGAGGTTTTTGCGTTTGTTCTTCTCTTTGGGTTTCCACTCTGACAACAAAAGCCCAGTTATTGATGCACTTCTGTCCTTTGTGTCCTCGTGGGGACGTGTAGAGCTTTAACGACAGGAAGTCTGTGTTCCCGTTGGTGAGACTCAAACAGAAGGTGCTGATCTGCGAGTTGGTTTCCTGTAATCCTCCATGTTGAGGATTCCATCTCTTTCCAAGTCCACCAAACTAATACGAAGTGTTTAGTGTCAAATTTAAACTAAAACAACCATATTTAATCGAGTCAAAGTAATCGACTGATTGCCACAATTATTCCAACTCAAAAGTCATAATCAAAATAGGACGATAAAACGAAACACATGAACTAAATCTGAATGAAACCACCAAAGCTCTAAACCCAACATGTTTCTGACTCACTGCTGAGTGCGTCCGGGTAATTATGTCCTCTAAACGCCCAAAACACCAAATCTAATCTGAGCACGCTAATGGGCAAAAACGAAACCACTGATATGGACGGACGAGCGGAAGCACCGGAGCTGGAGCGAACGAGACAAGAGCCGGTAAAAACCACAGAGGCATCAGGGACGAGGCGCAACAAAAGAGACAGGGACACCGACACAACCGCAACAAATTGAAGAGGCAAATTTGAGTCGAGCTAATGGACTGAGGAAAACCACAGAGACTTAGAAGAGCAAGAAAGAGGAAAGAGGCCATTAGGAAAGAGAGAATGTCCGAAATAAACAAAAGAGGGTGCAACACTATGAAGTCAACGATGAGCGTTTTACTTGGATCGACTCAAGTCGGATCATCGAACCCCATCGTAGTGTGATTCAGTCTCTTTGAGCTTGTGTTTTTCTGATTAGTTTGTGAAAATGGCAGAGTCCACATAGCCGATGTGCTTCCGTGCATTTCTGCATCTCACCTGGTTGGGGGGCGCGAGCCAGTAGAGGAAGAACCCGTTGTCATCGACTTTCAGGGTAACGGGAGAGGGGAGCGCTATCCCATCCTGCAGGGAAAACAGAAAGACAAGTTTTTAAATAAAGGTATTCGGTGCAGTCAAGATGGCCGCCACACCTAAACAGCATTAGCCAATTAGAATCAGGGCAGCCCATGTCCAATATACAATACAAAGTGTTTCTTTAGCCAATATACACGTTTTCATTTAACAGACTAAAACAGTTGCTCAACTTGTTAAAAAAAATGGT